TATAACACTATTAAAAATCATGACCGGTAGTGTAATACAAACTAAAAGGCAGAAATGTGAGCTCCTTTGACGACGCAGCAATATTTCCGCTCCATTTCTGGAATGTTCTCTCTCTTCTGAGAACAAACGGCTGCTGGAGATATGATAATACTGTGGCAGGAAAATCACATTGTTGATAGCACTTTATCTGACTCTGGTATATTGCAAGAATTTTCTGTTAGCAGATGGTCTGACAGTATTGATATTCCAAATGAAAATGTGTGTTTGTACTAGAGATGCCAAAATTAACACATTAACGTGATGAATGAATTAAATATGGTTACAGCTGTTAATATTTTTGATTCATTTATCTGATTTGACATTATGTTTTGAATGTTGATATCATTTAAAATTATTGTCAGACATTATGTATAGTAATAGCTTTAGAGATGGGGAATTAAAGATGTAAAGCATTTTCAATTGTTTAGCTATATAAGCAAAATCAGTTTTATTTTAGGCTACATTGTCGACATGAGAAATGACCTTTTTATATAAAAGAGTGCATTTCTGTTCCCAAAAATTGAAGTTCATTAATCGAACTGAATTTATGTTGCCCTCTATGCCAGATGTTTCATCTCCGTATTGTCATCTGTTTGACCCCTGACATAGTGCCGCTTTCTTTACTGTTTAGTTCTGGATACTTAATGGCTATAGTCTTGTCTTTTATTGCTCACAATCTTGCTGCTTTCTGTCTCTCTCCTCACGTTTAATTCTTCTCCAGGCCTTTAATGGCTGAAGTGAAACACTCCGCTGGCTGGCAGTAGAGTAATTCTATTTTTTTCTCAGTGGTTTATGCTGTTGCTATTATGTATGCAACATTTCCATAGTTTAAGAGACCGTTTACCTAACCAAAATGCTTCATTATTGATGTCTTTGCTTCTTTTTACAGATGGATTGTGGATATGGAAGGAGCCTCTGGTACTCTTTATGAGGGGGAGAAATTTCAACTTCTTTTTAAATTTAGTGGTCGTTATCCCTTTGACTCACCTCAGGTAAGTCTAAATATTACATATTAACTCTATATTTCGTAATAAAAATGTTATTTGTTATTTGAGTATTATTTATTAACTATTATAGTTTTTATTAATATTTATTAGTTTTTTTTATATATTTTGGCTTTTATTTTTATATTTTCAGTTTTCATTTTAATTTTTTTAATGTTTTGTCATTTTATTATGTTCTTTTGTCATTTGTATTAGTTTTTAAAATATTTCTGCCCAGTCTTATTTTAGTATTATCTATACACTATTATAGCTTTTATTAATACTTATTAATTTTTTATTAACCTTTTTGCTTTGATTTGTATATTTTTCAGTTTTCATTTTAATTTCTTAATTTTATTTTGTAATTTTATTATGTGCTTTTGTCACTTGTATTAGTTTTTTGTTGTTAAAATATTTCTAAATAGTTTATTTATTTTAATTTTAGTTTTTGTTCAATTTCTGTTAGTATTTTAAATATTTTAACTTCAACTTTCAAACTTCAAACATTTTTGTTTGGTGTGTTTTTCATTTAATATTTATATTTTATTGTATTGCTGATTTATTTCAATTAACATTTTTTCTGACATGGTTTTGACATGGTTTTCCATGTATCATTTTATTATATCTCTGTACGTAGGCAGAGACAAATCATATAAACAAGTGTGATTGTTCACGATAACATTAACTTCTCCATCTTACTTGTACTCAACTACAGTATCTCACATGTGGCAGATCACGTTTGCAGTGGTCTGTGCTGCTCTCGGTAGTTGCCACATCGCATTGCTGTCCATTTGCATAAAATGAAACTCTGTGAATTGCTGGACACCGTTTATTGTACATTTGTAGCAGCCAGATGAACATTTAAGGCTCAACTAAAATCTGTTTTGCACCTAAACAGTAAAATAATAGGATCGATCCACACAAGGGCATTTTGAGCTTGTTGACTGCAGAATCAATGGCCACATATGAGGGGATTAACTCTGATCTTATTTTACATATCAGTCCCACTATAAATAGCAGAGCGGTATAGACCAGATTAGATAAACAAGCTCACACACCACTAAGGCTTTTAGGGTTAAGAACAGCATGAGTATATGGATACTGTTATAGTTGAAAACCATGTCACAGCAAGTGACAGAAATACTGTTGATGGCTTAGAGCTGATACAAAGTGTAAATGGAGCAATAGTAAGTCTTAGTCAAAGGAGCTTTAAATGCGAGGGGCAGCACTTGAGATTAAAGGTGACTGATAAATAACCTTTTTTGTTGCTGAAGTGGCCCTAGCAGTGTTTGTGCACATTAAGTGCATTTAATCGGGAGTGAAGCACTGGCTATTTTTATCTGTCTGACCGTGAGCGCGCTATGCTTTTTCTTATGTAAGTCCGGATCTGGCGCTGGCTTCTCATTCAGCCAGCTGTCTCTGTCGCTACCTCCTAATCTAGCGGCCTCATGCCAATTGTGAGGACTAAGCACCGGCTTATGATTTAAAGGGATAGTTCACCCCAAAATTAAAGTTCTGTCATCATTTACTCACCCTCATGTTGTTCCAAATCCATGTGACTTTCTTTGTTCTGTGGAACACAAAAGAAGATGTTTTGAATGTCAATGTTGCTCTTTTCCATACAATTAAAGTGGGTGGGGACTGGAGATGTCAAGCTCTAAAAAGGTCAAAGAGCATTATAAAAGATTAGAGCCCGACCGATATGGGTTTTTGGGGCCGATACCGATATTAGGGACGTGTCACTCGTATAGTTTTGAATGGGGAAAAATGCAACGCTCAATATGGTCGCTCAATCGCAGGAAGCCCCGCCTTCTGAATGAAGGAGCCAATCACTAATCTGTAAAGTCAGCGCGTCACTGCAGCTGCCGTTAGAAGTCGCGGTTGCTATAGAAACAGTCAGCATTTTGAGACATGCGCTCAGGATTGCGCATGCGCACTGGCTGATCTAACCTGAATAATAAGCTTTTTATAACGCAATTTGAGCAAAATAAACAACATTTATGACACAGTTGATATAAGATTTCTTTGGTGATTTCAAATATGAAATTTAATCGCAAGCTTAGTGAACAGTTTTGTAGAATTTGATGTTTCCCCATTCAGAGAGATAGGAGTTGCTCTTGCATGCCCGAGAGGCATTTCAAAGATGGCCGCCGAGTGACATGACTTGTCTTAAAGGGACTTTGATACAACTCATGGAATATATTTCAAGTCCTTTGAATTTTATGATAGTTTTGTTTAGAACAGGCCAAAAATTTAGTTGTTTTTCATGGAAAATTGAGCTTGACCACATTTCCACCATGAAATGGAAAACTTTTATAACACAATTCCTTACTTTTTCTCAGAATTGTGAAAAATTTAGAACAATTGCACAGAATTGAGAAAAAAATAAACGTGCAATTCAGAGAAACTTTGAATTGTGAGAAAAATTTTTAATTTTTCTTTGTCTCAATTCTCATAATTTTGTCTAAATTCTCATTAGGGATGTAACGATGAACCGCGAGCCGGTTGAAAATTTATTCAAATATGTGATGATTCAAATCGGTTGAGATGCCAAACAAATTGTGAAACAAGTAGGAGTTTATATGAATGCATCTCTGATGGGAACTGACTTTAGAAAAGTTTATGTGGTATTTTATTTTCACCTTGCCTCTGAACGATGCATATGAAAGTAGTGTTCATAAGCGCAGCTCTGCTTTGTTTACAGCGGTAACCCAGGAAACACTATATCATTGCTGTTCACAAGCGCCACCTGCTGGCTGAAAGTGAATTTGCGTCTCATTAAGCTCATCTGCTTTTTCGTTCAGATATGTTTTATGTAGTATAGTTTCACAAAACTAAAGTCAGACCATGCAGTTTTTGCTTCAAATTTCAAAATTATACAGTCTAATTTAGGCCACGTTCACACAGCAGCAGAATACGGTTGTCAGTCCTGTATTTGAGTCCTTGATACGGTTACGTTCGCACACAGTTCGGTTATTTACAGGCGTGACAACCGCATTCTGTAACCGAACTCACACCTGTAAATTTTCAGGATTCGCAACCGCATTCTCGGTACACACGCGCTGTGTGAACGGAACAGGACTGGACAACTAGTTGTCTGTCACATCATATAGCGCGAGAGAGAGCCTCTCTGCCGCACAAACGCGCGTGTTTTCGGTAACTTACAGTGACTGAGAAATGAGCTGCATGTCATCTGAACGTTTTAGATCCCGTCAGTTTTCCACCGGAGACGCTTTCGATTCAAATGCTCCGCTCTCCACCCAAATTTAAAAGCTGCTGTCGGTTAATGAAGATTTGACGAAAGAACTCACGGCTCGATTGGACTCTTGTCGTGTCAGAAAGTGATAAGACTTTCAGTTTTATGGATGTCGCCATCTGTGATTTTACTTTGGTCACTATCGCTATGGTTACTGGGAAGGAATACAGGCTTGACTCCCGTTGCACGTTCATACAGACAGTATTCTAAACACAACTGTAAGCTGCTGTGTGAACGGGACATTTCGAGACTCACACCTGTAAAGAAAATGCGGCTGTCAATCCCAAAAACTGACAGTGTGAACATAGCCTTAGATTAAAAACTGTTCATGCTGCATGTAGGGCTTATGCTGGATCTTTGTTTGAATCATGATTAAAATGCAGTGGTTGCCTCTAACTTTAACCTAAATGGAAAGAGCACAGACAAAGCCTTATGCCTCATGCACACCGGGACGATTATCGCCCGCGCTTATCGCCAGCGTATTTCGACGAGTCTTGTGTGTTCATACCAGAGCCGATCCTATACTTCTGGGGGCCCTACGCAAAACTGTGTCGGGCGGGCTGACGAGTTATGAATGAATGAAACGCATTTGTCCATGTTTCACTCTGTCTCGAATCGCGCTCACGGAAAGCGATTGAGAAACAGTGTCTCTTCCGCGGCTTGGTACACTTTCCACTCTTTTTTTTTTTTTAGTCTCGAGCAAGAGACTGTATGACATTGACGTTACATGATTTGACTGATTTTTACGTAGAAAGGGTGACAGCGAACCGCTTTAAAAGAAATTAATGTTCATGTTTTCATAACCGCTGGCCAAATTCAAAAACGAAACTAAAATTAAAACATCTTTGAGAGCAAGGGGGCCCCCTGGTGTTTTGGGGGCCCTACGCAGCTTGTGTACTTTGTGTATAGGGAGGATCGGCTCTGGTTCATACCCAAGTGATTTTCACTGGCGATGAGCCGAGTGAACATGCAGATTCACTCCCTGACATTAGATGGCGCTTAATGAAATGCCCCGGTACACATCGAATCCTATTTGGTCTGCAATTCCTCTCCATAACAACTCCCTCTTATCGAGATTTTTGTAGGACTTCGCTGTCGCGTTTGTCATAAAGCTCTTTGTGTTCAGAGACCAATGAGACCAGCAGCTCTACATTCATCTTGCCTCGATGCTTCTTCTTCATCTACTTACTTCCTCTTCATCGTTAGGTATCAATTGTGTGCTCGGCAAGACCGTTTTGTGCTTGAGTGCCACCAAGTCGTGTTTTACTGTAACTTCAGCAGCTCCAGGCACGTGAACAAAAGCGCCAATCTCATTGGTCGGCCAGTTTTTAACGCGGCACGTCAAACCAACAAAACGAGACCGAGGCGTTTTTTAAAAAATGACACTTTTACGCCTGACGTTCTGCGTGCCGGTGTGCACACTCACATTGGCGCCCTTTGTTTAGTTACGAGGCGTTAAACGTCGGCGATAATCGCGCTCGATAATCGTCCCAGTGTGTACAAGCCTTTAGTTTGTTTATATGAAGAGATTTATTTTATTTGTGCAACTTATTTGATTTGGGGTTTGTTTTAAAATTTCTATTTAGTTTTCTAATATTTAAATTTTACAAAGAAACGTGCAGCAATAGCCTAATAAAAGGACACCTTTTCATTTACTGTCTAATGTATTCAATCTCATTTTGTAAAAAAAAATTGTGAGAAAATCGAATCGTGAAATCAAAACCGTGAACCGAATCGAATCGTGAGTTGAGTGAATTGTTACATCCCTAATTCTCATAATTCTCATAAACGTTTTTCTTGCAATTGTGAGTTTACGTGTCACAATTCTAAATTTATGTCTCACAATTCTGAGAAGTCCAAAGAAAAGGTTTCCTTTTGTTACCTTTGGTGAAAACAAGCTTGTCACAGTTCTCACAATTCTTACTTTTTTCTTGCAATCCTAAGTTTATATCTTGCAATTCTGAGAAAAAAAGTCTGAATTGTAAGAAAAAAATCGCAGTTTCCATTTTTTTTAAATGTTATTTTATTTTATTATTCTTTTTTTTTTTGGATAAATTATTTGGAAATAAGCTTCCAGAATGTTCCCTTTCATTGTATGGAAAAGAGCAGCTTGAAGCAAGCATACATGGTCATCTAGTGTACTATATTTGTCTGAAACAGCTGAAAATAAATGTCTTTATGTTGTGTTTTGACAGGTAATGTTCACAGGAGACAATATACCCGTCCATCCCCATGTTTATAGCAATGGCCACATCTGCCTGTCCATCTTAACGGAGGACTGGTCACCAGCTCTTTCGGTGCAGTCTGTTTGTCTTAGCATTATTAGCATGCTGTCTAGCTGCAAAGAGAAGGTAAGTGTCTCACACAACAATGCAGTGGTTTTGTTGATATGTTTTGATATCTGTTTTGTAACTTAGTTATTGTATCTCTTTGGATTTTAAAGTTATAGTGTGGATCAATATGTAAAGATAACACATTTAGTTTCTAATATGGGACATATTAGACGGATATGTTTGTTCATTAGTTACAATAGTAAGACATTAACCGCCATATCTGGTGTCTCTCTAAATCAATGACTTACTAATTATAGTCCTTGCTTAAAGGTGTCTTAACGCTGATGTTTTATAATTGACTGTCTATACGAGCTTAGGGACAGGAACAGAAAACAGAGTTGTTAATCAAACCCTAAGCATTTGTTTTCAGTTTACATAAAACATACAGTTAATACACATTCACCAGCCTCTTTATTAGGTACACCTGTACAAGTGCTCATTAATGCAAATATCTAATCAGCCAAGCACATCAATGCTTTTAGGCATGTAGACATGGTCAAGAAGATCTGCTGAAGTTCAGACCGAGCATCAGAATGGGGAAGAAGGGTGATTTAAGTGACTTTGAACATGGGATAGATGTTGGTGCCAGACGGGCTGGTCTGAGAATTTCAGAAACTGCTGATGTACTGGGAATTTCACGCATAATCATCTCTAAGGTTTACAGAGAATGGTCTGAAAAAGATATGAGAAGCAGATCTGTGGGTGAAAATGCCTTGTTGATGCCAGAGGTCAGAGGAGAATGGCCAGACTGATTTGGGCTGATAGAAAGGCAAGAGTAACTAGGGCCCTGTGATTTCCACGATGCAGAAAATGCGGACGGAATCACGGAATCCAATCATAAATATGGAATTTACTGTATTACGTGGAATGTCACGGAATTTGTCAAAATTTGGATAAATATATAGTTCAGTCATGAAACTCTAGATGACGCGTTCTGACGGGGTGTTAACGTACTGATGATATTCAGAGAGTTAAACGACTTGGCACAAGCTGATTGGTTCATGCAGCATATGCAGCCAATGAGCTTACTGCCTTGCATTTATATGGCTGGCTAGCATTCACTTGAGATTCCTGCAGCGTGCTTTCGGAGTTCTCTGAAACCATCCACCTTCCCCAGCTCCACCTGTATAGATCTACGGGGTTATTTTATATGCTATTTGTGCAGCAGCGGTATGTCTTAAATACTCATGGCACAGTATCGCCATATGCATTGGCAGTAGCAAGTACCTGTACTTGCTTGCAGCAGCAGAAATAATCTACAACTACAGCAATAACCAAAAGCAGCAGCAATTCAGCAGCAGTGTAGCAGATCTGTTCCGCCAAGACCAAATACATTAACATTGTCATATCCATCACCATGCTAAAATGTTCAGAGAGTTGTCATGATTGAAATTAATCATAAGTAGTTCAGTACACTGTCAGCGCCGATAGCTTCGTGGTTAAGTACATTTACATTTACATTTAGTCATTTAGCAGACGCTTTTAACAGCAGATCTATAAACAAGTATTATGCAGGACACTCACGTGCAGCCGTCTGTCTCTTCTGTTGACTAATCGCTTGACCCGGCTTGACCCGGAATCAGTTAAGTGCGCTAACATATAGTGCAACTGTGGTGACCCGAGTTCGATTCCCATCTTGTGGTCCTTTGCCGATCCTGTTATACCCTCTCTCTCTGCCCAATGCTTTCCTGTCACCTCTCTACTGATTTATCGCATTAAAGGCATTAAAAAACCCATAAATAAAACGTAAAAAAAAAAGGTAGTTCAGCACACTTAAATCAAATCGTGATATGGACTAGTGTCTGTTAATATTAAGCTGCAAAAAGACTGTTTAAAAATTAATTGTGCATGTTCTGAATGAATGGCGCAGATGCAGTTTCGTTACTACACACATACTGAAGCGTGCATGTCGCTCGCGGGGATTTCAGCTTCTGCATCTCATTAAATGAGGACATAAGTGCATGAACAATCTCTAGAACTGCTCTGAGAGTACTTCATGAGCATTTTACTGTTTCATTTGAATAAAACTATCATTTATCTTATACACACAGAAACTTAAAGGTCCTCATGGCAACCCGTCAAAATAAAAGTTCGGGTTAACTTGAAGAAATTGTCAGAAATATATTACTATTGTACAGTGGAAAACTTTTTTTCAAGGACTAATCACACAATATTTCTCACATGTTTTAATTTTAATGGTAAACCCCCTTTGTTTGTCAAAAAATAATGAGTTTAATTTTCATTTGATTAAAAGATAAATTAAATATTTTATGCCTAAAAATTAAAATACACAACAAAAGAATTTCTGAGAAAAAAAAGCAAACATACATTTTAATAAATTAAGTTGTTTTTATGCATTCAAATAATTAGACATGCTTAAACACAGAATTTTGGTAACAATAAAACAAAGCGTGAGAAAATAAAACATATTTCATAGTGCCCTAAAAATTTTATTTTTGTTAAACTTTTAATAAATGAATGTTAAATTGTGTAGGTTTCATGATTTTAATTAATTAGGCATGCTTTTTGATTAATAACATTTAATTTACCCATTAAAAAGGAGCCCAGAAAAATTAAGACGGAATTTGGGAAAAAATAAAACGTATTTCATAGGGTCCTAAGTAACTCAAATAACCACTCGTTCCAACTGAGGTCTGCAGAAGAGCATCTCTCAACACACAACATGTCAAACAATAGGCTACAGCAGCAGAATATTGGAAAAAGGTTGAGTCTCGATTTCTGCTGCAACATTTGAATGGTAGGGTCAGAATTTGACATAAACAACATGAAACCATGGATCCATCCTGCTTTGTAATAGTGATTTAGGCTGGTGGTGTAATGGTGTGGGGGATATTTTCGTCACACTTTGGGCCCCTTAGTACCAACTGAACATCGTTTCAACGCCACAGCCTACCTGACTATTACGGCTGACCATGCCCATTCCTTTATGACCACAATGTACCTGTCTTGTGATGGCTAATTCCAGCAGGATAAAGCTCAAATAATACCAAACTGGTTTATAAAACATAATGAGCAAACATAATGTTTGCAGCATCTTGTTGAATCTATTTCACAAAGAATAAAAGCAGTTCTGAAGGCAAAAGGGGTCCAAGCCAGTACTAGCAATGTGTACCTAATAAATTGGCCAGTGGATGTAAAAATATGCAGTGCTGGGTAGATTACTTACAAATTATTACTGATTACGGATTACATGATGAAAACTGTAGTTAGTAACATAATTTAGGTTACTCATTTTAGGTAATGTATTCTTTTTGTTTATTGGTTTTAAAATGACCATTTAACATACCATATTGATTTAAAAACACAAAGAGAAAGAAAATATATTGTTTTTTATATTAACATCATAAAATGCATTTAACATGACATTACACCAGGGTTTCCCAAACTATGCTTAATGTAAGAACTGCACTGCAGTGGGTTTGTGAGTTGATGAAAATCTAATAATTAATTAAATCATAAAAATAATTGAAATGCTTGAACACTAAAAATAGAAATATTTCATTTGTTTACCTGCATGTCAGTGTGAATGTTAACCGATATTTCAGAGGACTGTAAACATGTGAATGTGTTGTTAAATTATTTCAATATTAAACTATTTTATGTTAATGAGTATGCCTGGCAAAGACATTTGAATAATGAAGAATTAACCGCCATTGTGTGAATAAAATGTAATCATGCAATCCATAAAAAAAGTAACTGTAATCTGATTATGAGCATTTTAAAATGTAATGTACTCTTAATATTTGGAATCTAGTTATGTAATCCAGACTAGCCCTGAAAATATGTATGTTTTTATTTCTATTTATGTATTAATTTCCTTATATATTTTACAGAGGAGGCCTCCTGATAACTCCTTTTATGTACGGACGTGTAATAAAAATCCAAAGAAGACGAAATGGTGGTATCATGGTAAGAACTAATGTTTTAGTCGGTAATAAATAAAACATTTTTAGTGGAAATGCATTTTGAATGTATTTAAAATCTGCATTTTTTTTTTCTTTTCAGATGATACCTGTTAATATGAACTTTCTAGAACTCCCGGAGGGAAGAAGTCCTACTGAACTATAAAAGCACTTTTTGAAATCATATGGTCTCTGAACTTTAACCTTGGACTCAAACTCAAGCATGGACTCAGACCACAAACATGGGAGATGATGTCAACTGTGTTACCGGTGGCCAGTTGGATGCATGTTTGGGAAAACTAAAAAACAGTCGAAGAATGGAAATACATTTTTAAAGAGGATGGAAACATACCCGTCAAGGGTTGGTGTGGAAAAATGTAGATAAATCCATGAAAAAGGATTTTTTTTTTTGTAGTGAGATTATTTCTATCTTGGACCATACATATTCCTGTTCATTTTTGTCATTGGTATGTTATAAGGTCCATGTGTCTTGTGCAATAACAAGGATAGGTGCATACACTCTTAAAAATAAAGGTGCTTCAAAAGGAAGCTTATTCTTCTATGGCATCGTGAAGCACCTTTATTTTTAAGAGTGTAGCAGGGCCAATAATGAGAAATCCAAATCAAATGATAGAAGTCCAAAACCAATCTGGAAATGATTGTAGTGTCCTTCGCTTTTTCTCTTTCCTTATATTCCTACTGAAATTATATGCACTGTGATGAAAGACCAGTTCATTCTAACGAAGATATGGCGCACCTCTTCAGCGAGTTTCTGATGTTCCACTGTAAATAGATTAATTTAAGAAAGGTACTGTTTTATCTCATTCATCTCAAGCTCTGCTGTCACTGCAAAGGGTGGTTTCATTGTCACTTAAGACTAGAATTGGTCTGTTTGAGCATCAAAACCAACCTTGACCATCCATGAACTCGTATTTACCTCTACCAAGTCATATGGGATGGAACCAGTGTTGTGTAGGTTTGCCATTAAAGCAGAGCTGTAGGTAACCCAGTATATTGAACGTTAGCAAGAAAGTTCTGTCTTGTGTTCTATCTTATTTGTATAAAATGTTTTTGTTCTGAGGCATTCGCTCAAAATTATGTTAAACTATTCCTTTTAAAAAATTTGCTTCACCTTTGTCACTTTTTTTTTTTGGTGCAAGTAATGAAAGAGTGTACGTCTTATTTAATTTGGGGTATTTGTTTTATTCTCTATAACCTCAGATGCTTTGGAAGTTATTGTGGTTTATATATTCTCAAGATGTTGATTATCCTGGTCATATTTGCCTGGCTCAGGTCATTTTTTTTCAAGGACAAAAAAAAATCACAAATATTTTCCATTTGATTATATTTTCTCCTAAAGGACTGTTACATAGTTTAGGGAAAAAAACGAAAGAAACAAACAAAATAATGCGTATAACTCGTAAAAGTGAGATTAATTAACCCGGCAGCATGTAGATAGAGAAATAATGTTATTGCAGAGCACATATTTGATAATGTTTAGATCCTGCACTTTTTCCAAAATGAAATGATTTTAATTCTCCAAAAATGAGTGTTATTATGATCAAAGATTATCTGGTAGTTTGGTTTTTGTGTTTTCTGGGATTAAAAAAAAACTACAACACTTTTTGTTCCCAACAATTGTATATGTTTGATGTACGGTATCTGATCAGTAATGTGCGATCGCACACTGTTTATTAACTTCATACACTCCAAAGATGTATCTTTTTAGCCATCCATTCAGAAATACTTGAATATTCTAATCCTGGTTGGCTTGTCTTCTTTTCCATCGTCTGTGGTACAGTGTACTTAGACTTCCAAGTGAATGTGTTGGTGTAGCAAAAATGGAGATGGCCATGACACTTCCCTTTGCACACAATATCAGGATACTTTATTTTATGTTACACATGTAATTGTCCTTACCACTGAAAGAAAAGTGTGGAAATGACAACAGGGCTAAACTTGAATGTGTGTTTGGTGGCTGAGAAAAATATTGACACCTGTCAGCATTTGAAAGGAAGTCAATACGTGTACACACTTATAAGTTTAAGTAGACTTGGGTATCTAAAAAGTTATCTTTTTTTGCTAATAAAGGGTACTATTTAAATTGGTTTGCCAGTTGTAGGAGGTGATAGGAGTTATTGTTTTTTTAACTCTTTCTTTGAGGGTTTTTTTTTTTGGTATGTACAAATTATGTAAGTTTTGCCTGTTAATTTAAAGAATAAAAATACAGGTTTTGAGTGAGTCTTCTCATTTACACATTGCATAACACAGTTATCCACTTTATTAAGTAAAGCAATAAAGACAGGTTAAGCAATCATATTTCTAGTTATGTACAAAGTAATATTTTAGAATGCTTAATATGCTGTACTGTTATAATTTATAGCTAATACTAATAATACTAATAAAAATGCAGATTACACATTGGATTTATTTAATATTAATTGTAGGTAATGTTTATTATACTTGCCATTAATGTATATATTATAATGGATGTACATTAAGTAATAATTATATCTGTAGTTATTTATAAAGTAATATTTTAGAATGCTTAATATTATATTAATAAATATTTGTAGTTATTTATAAAGTAATATTTTAGAATGCTTAATAATATCCATTAATAAAAACGACATTGTAGTTGTTTATAAAGCAATCAAGCAATTTTGATCTATTATCAAAAATGATTATTGTAGCCGTTCATAAAGTAATATTTTAGAATGCTTATTATCTGTTATTAATAATTATATTTGTAGTTTATAAAGTATTATTTTGGAATGCTTAATATTATCCATTATTAATAAAATGCATATATATACAAAATTGACTAAAACTGTACTAAATGTAAATTTAAAACATAAATCAGCTAGCAGTGCTGTGCCGTCGTCCAAGTGGGCTATTTTTGGAAAAGCACATGTTGTTCATATGTTGGTTTGGTCCTGGTACCATCAGTTCTCTTTAGTGTTTGCCAATGTTGGAGGTGTAACTGGGGTCTGGCCCTGGACGAAGGTAAACTATTATTATTAAATGCGTTGTGGTTTGAAGTAGCGATGAATTCAGGACTGCACTTGAGACTGCGCTCTGTCGTTTGGTTGTTTGGTGGCAGCACAGGCAGCGTGCATCGATGAGATGTGAGGGGTATTTAGCCGTTCAGCCATGATGTCCGCACATTCCCAGCTGAGTTCAGACCGGTGGCCTGTGTGCTGGAGAGGAAGGCTGTGTTCCAAAACCCCGATCAGGGTTGATTTGAATGTTTAAAGGACTATAATAAATCCCAGCATCGCGTCTTGATAATCATGAGAGAACTAAGAAAATGACAACCTCAGTGAGTGCATAGATAGACATAGAGACAACTGGAAAAAGAGAGTGTCCTCACTTTTGAGAGTCAGTTTCACAAAGAAAGCTGTCTTCTCATCCACTGCACTAATAAAGTCCATGATGGATCCTAGTGGTCAAATGTCACTCCATTGGCTTGATGCTGATTTGCTTCCAGTCCATCATTTGTCACACTGGGTTTAATGATTGATGTCATGCATTGCATTTTATGCTTTTTAGTGTGAAGATTTATGCTACAGGAATTATGGAAATATCAGGTGATTTAAAAAGGGTGAGTGGCCATGGAAGTGATTAAAATCTTTATGATTATTGTAAAAGTCAAGGAAGTTTGTATAATAAATGTTTGTTTTTCCTGTAGGTGACTACAGGAAAACAAAAATACTAAATTGATGTTTTTCTTAAGTCACATGTAGAGTGTTTCATTGGCTATTTTTTCATTCATTTTTTTTAAACACCCTTATATTGGAACTATGAAAGACTGAAAAAGTCATTGAATTTCTCTGTTCAGAATTTTTTTAAATTATGTTCTCGTCATATTTGATAACACTTGGCAAACACTGACATGGACATATCAATTCAAACATGAACATTTCAAATCCTTTTATTAAACAATTTCTGAATTGTCACCAGTTTAAGAGCTGATAGAATATTCATTACATTTCTCACAAATATAGCAGTGCTATTTTAGAATTATTTATATAATATTATAGGATTTATTAATATTTTTTTGAATTAGCTTGTATTTTCAGTTTGCATATTAATTTTAGTTCTAGTATTTTTATTCGTTTTTTATTTTTATATTTGTATATTTCTATTTTTTATTTCAATTTTAGTTTTTCATTTTAGTACTCCAACTTATTTAAAAAAATTATTTAAAAGTCAAATTATTTCAACTTTAAAGCTTGTTTTATTTTGATTGCCAAGTTTTTATGTTTACATTTTACGTTAGTATATTTATTTAATAATGAAAACTATTATAATAGTTGTTTTAGTTTTAGGTTTAGTTAACAGCAGCAACAATACAGTCATATTTTACTATGATTGTATCCATTTAAGTGGTTGTTGAGTTTGAATGCACCTACCTTATTGTTTTGAAAGTAATGCTTTCTTTTGTGTTGCACTTTGTCACAGCAGTTAACTTTGAGTTAAAAAAAATGTTACAGCCTTGTCTGTTTTAAAAAATAATGTGTTGCTTGGCTTATCCAGGCCTTGACCATGTCTGTCCTGTAATGCGCTGGAAAATACATTTTGCATGTAGTCTGCAATCCTACAACCTAAATAGTTGATGTTGAGAAAGATTGTTTCATGTTAAATCATATTTTAACAGCGATAGAGCATGGCTCAAGTGAAAGTGCAGACACCAGCCCCCTTGTCTGGACCTGGCCTGACCGCCGTTGCGCCCGCTGTGGCCATGCCCAGCCCAGGAGCTCTGGGTCTGCAGCCCACCATCAATGGCACAGTGCCAGCCACAACGCCCACCTGCCCCAGCCCTGCCTCTGGCTTTGTGGACTCCACTGTACCAGCCAGCCCATCAGGTACGCTGTGGACATGCAAGTCTGATGCATTTAGCCAGTGTAGTTTATAACGTTTATAGTGGTAATGCTCATTTTAACCGCTAACACAAGCTGCCGTGGATGTCCTGTGTCCATTAAAGACAGTTGTGAAAGCGTTTCGGTTACTAAGCAAATTATGTTTGGGAAAACAAAGAAAAACAGTGTATGTTGTGTTATGTCAGAGGGATTCTGTTTTCCACTTAATCTAAACAAACTAAATCGAATAACGCAGTGTAATGTAAACATCTGATCATAATAGTTAACATTTATTAGTCAGTTCTGTGGAATGACATTGTTTTAGGTTGATTTTTAATATGATTAAATGACAGAGTAAACAATTACAGTGGGCCCAAAGCATTTGGACCATTAAAAATGTTTAAATGTGATTTGGTAGATAGCAAAATATGAAACCAGGTGCCATTATTTTAAAGATAAACAGCACAAACACACTTTTCAAGCAAAGCATTTGACAAAAAGATGTTTGTTTGCTTGTTTTTAAATGGAAACATACACTTGCATCAAAAGTTTGTGGTTCTTAAAATGTTTTATAAGAAGTCTCTTATGCTTACCTAGGCTTTTTTATGTGATCAAAATACTGTAGAAAAACAGTAATGAATTGTAAAATATTATTACTTTTGTTTAAAATATCTGTTTTCTGTTAATATATTAAAAAATGTAATCTATTCCTGTGATGGCAAAGCTGAATTTTCAGCATCATTACTCCAGTCTTCAGTGTCACATGTGATTTCATTGATCCTTCAGAAATCATTCTAATATGATGCTTTGCTGCTCATGCAATGTTTTTTTATTATTATTATTTTTTTTTAATCATTTTGAAAAGGATTGTTTAATATCTTTTGTGGAAACTGTGAGACCTTTTTCAGGATTCTTTGATGAATCGAAAGTTCAAAAGAACAATATTTATTTGAAATATAAATCGTTTGTAACATAAAGGTCTTTACTGTCAAGGAATAGTTCACCCAGAAATGAAGATTGTCATCATTTACTCCCCCTCCACTCGTTCCAAACCTATATGAGTTTATTTCTACTGTTCAACACAAAAGAAGATATTTTGTAGAATGTTGGTAACCAAACAGTTGACGGTAGCCATTGACTTCCCTAGTTTTTTTTTTTCTATACTATGGAAGTCAGTGGCTACCATCAACTGATTAACAACATTCTTCAGAATATCTTACTTTATGCTCACCAGAAGAAAGGTTTGGAACAACTTGAGTAAATGCTGACAGAATTGAATGCATTTTTGTGGAATGAAAGTTTCATTTCTTGAAAAAGAAATCTTACTGACTCCAAACGTTTGAATGGTAGTATATGCTGTTTTGGACTCATATCTATAATACAGTGAAAAACCTGACATGCACTTGTTCATTCTTGCATGTGATTAAGCTGTCACTCTTTCTGACAGGCCCTCCGCAAGAAAACATGGCAAACCCTAAAGAGAAAACTCCCATGTGTTTGGTGAATGAGTTAGCCCGTTTCAACAGGATTCAACCTCAATACAAGTTGCTGAGTGAGAAAGGGCCAGCACATGCTAAGGTATTGTTAATGAAGGAATGTGATAAATCTAATGGGAAAATACATGCTATATATAACTTCATGATACACTAATTAGCTTTGCACATCCTGAAAGAAATACCAGTGCTTACAAGGCAGCAAAGAATATTGGAAATTTTTTGTGAGCTTAGGCTCGCTAACTGACATGCAGCATATAAGCAATGCTTTGCTCTTGTCATGAAACTGAGCACACAATAATTAACGTATGGGGTTATGAATGTGGTTACAAATGGTTAAATAAATGCAAGAAAGATAAAGTATGTGCAATCATATTTCAGTATGCAAATGATGTCATCATCACTGTCACTACATTTTGAATGCTAAATGTGACCCTGGAGCACAAAACCAGGCTTAAGTCGCTGGGGTATATTTGTAACAATAGCCAAAAATACATTGTATGGGTCAAAATTATAGATTTTTCTTTTATGCCAAAAATCATTAGGATATTAAGTAAAGATCATGTTCCATGAAGATATTTTGTAAATTTCCTACTGTAAATATATTAAAACTTAATTTTTGATTAGTAATATGCATTGCTAAGAACTAGTTGTATCTCGGCCAAATATTGTCCTATCCTAACAAACCATACATCAATGGAAAGCTTATATATTCAGCTTTTGAAAAAATGACCCTTATGACTGGTTTTGTGGTCCAGGGTCACAAATGTTCTATAAAATAAATTCAGTAGGATTTTAACCTTAATTTTCTTTAAAAAGGGTCACAAAGAGCAAAAATTAGACTGCATATATTACATTTAATGTAATTTATTAAATTGATTAA